ACAACTTTCATATTTTAAAGAAATTTCTCCTTGTTTTTGTTACCGATGTTTCCATCAATGTCAATATTTCTGCAGATATGAATGATCAGTATTTCCATGGATATTGACATTTTCATCCTCGTCAGTCATGAAGGCATTTTTTAAATTAAGCAAAGTGTTAATTTTTTTTTATCAATTACCTAAATGTCAAGTTATGAAGTGTTATAAAACTGTAAATGTTGGTAAATCGTTTGTGAAATAATCATGTTATTATTTTCCTGTTATGACCTTTTTCCTTAACAAAATCTCATATGTTTTAGATTGATGTACAAATGACATTTTTCTTCCCATGCAACCTCTTGTAACTTTTGTTCTCTTTTTAATTCACTGTTTAACTTTAATTTTGTTTTTCTTTAGCTTTTTGAGAATTTGAAGAAGTATCTTGGGGTCAAACATGAACTAGAAGCAGGATTTTCATGGACACTTGTTCATAGAACTGATGAAGATGAAGGGTTCCCGCAGAGGATCGAATGCAATTCTAAGCTTGCTGTTGCTTTGACTGTTATGGATGAATGCTTTTTGCCTATTGTTGACAGGAGGAGCGGCATCAATTTAATTCATAATGTTCTTTATAATTGTGGGTAAGTGCTGATCTCCATTGTTGTTGATTTAGTTGACAGTTGATAAAGTTTGCTTTTCAACTATGTAATTTTCGTAAACCTGGTTATCTTTCCTGGACCTTGACACACCAGGTTGAAGGTGGGGGTCTTTAGTTTTTGAAATACAAGATAAATGTCTCTGTATCTTGTGTTGTGTTACATTTACAAATAGTAAAGTGCTGGCTTTCCAAGATTAATTAAAAATTGCAAACTCGGTACAAGTACGCTGTTTAGATGATTTTTTTTGCGTATACGATAAGCTGTTGGATATTTGGCTAATGAATTGTTTTGGCCCATTTTCTTCTTAGATCAAACTTCAATCGGCTGAACTACAGTGGCTTCTACACTGCTATTTTAGAGAGAGGCGATGAAATAATTTCTGCTGCATCAATCAGGTATATTCTCATATTTGATAGCTTTTTATATCTTAGTTGTAAAATATTCATTTTTTCAGGCTGCGTGTTTGCTTTTTTACTTCTATTGATTATTGGATTGGCCCAGTTCATCTTTTCTTTCAGTTTCTCCAAAGAGTCATGGGCCATGGGTTATATGACCCCAAATTGGTTATGGAATCTATGGTTAGCTTTTCGGTTTATCATGAAAACAAATTCTTATAAAATATCTAATCTGCTTCTGGTTAGGTTTCATGGTACAAAGTTAGCAGAGATGCCATACATAGGAACTCGCCACATATATAGGCGACAAGGGATGTGCCGTCGGCTTTTTTGTGCCATTGAATCGGTAAGCTATGTGAGCCATGCTCTTTCTGTAATTTTACTTTCCCAAAAATAATATTCAAAATGATTCCGGCTCTCGGTTGTGGTCTTACCTGCTGTGTTTTGTAAATGGCTTTTGATTGGTCTTGTTCTCTCTATTTTGAAGGCTCTGTGCTCTCTCAAGGTTGAGAAATTGGTTATCCCTGCAATTGCTGAACTCATGCATACATGGACAGAAGTTTTTGGTTTTATTCCTGTTGAGGAATCATTCAAGCAAGAAATGAGGTCAATGAATATGCTAGTATTCCCTGGTATAGACATGCTACAGAAGTTGCTAGTGGATCAAGGCAATGAGGGGAACGTGACAGCAGACCCAGGTTTTCTTTTCAACTTGTATTTTGCTCTTCCTTAATCACAACATTAGCCTGCTCTCTGACATCAATTTTCCTTTTCCCTGTATTTTCCCTTGCAACAGGCTTAAAGCAATTAGAATGCAAGGGCAAAGATTTAATAAAGCATGGGAGTGGAAGCAAATCAGATAGTGGTTCACCTGCTAGTATTGATCCTCGTGGATCTGATGAAACCAGTTTGCCTCACATAAATGAAACATTTGATGAAGGTACTGCTATGGTTTCTGGTTCTCGATGTCTCGGTGTCTCCTTAAATGATACTCCTGTGATGAGTGGTTCTTTAGATGGTTCTGATGAACTTAAAAATTTAGATTCCACTGAGAGGAGTGTATCTTCTGACTCTCTTTTTGGGGCCGAATTACCTGGATCTACTTTGGACAAGGAATGCCCTATTGATACAACCCATGAGACAGCAACAGGAGATAAGCCAGTGCTGGATTCTCCTGTTGAAGATAAAACTCAGTCTACCTCTCGCGGCCCTGGTGAGGCTCCGGCAGTAGAAGATGAGCCGGCGCTGGATTCTCCTGTCGAAGATAAAATGCAGTCTACCTCTCAGGGTCCTGGTGAGGCTCCAGCAATAGAAGACGAACCAGTGCTGGATGATTCCCATGAAGAGAATGTTGATGCTTCCTGTCTTCAGCCTATTCCTTCTTCTGGAGAAACTTTCGCCGAGAACCCTGCTGAGGAAGTTAATGGAAATCAAGATTCCAGTTTCTGTGGTACTAATGAGAGTTCCTTGCCCAATAATTGTGCTTTGAATATTCAACTCGATTGTGAGGCAAAAAACAAATCGTATGTGGCTTCAGAAGTCGCATCTGATGCAAGGTGGTGTGAAAAGAGCATTCCTCAAGCATCTAGTGATGGTTCCAAGGCTGATTCGGGGAACGCTGAATCTGGTTCTGTTTGATATATCTAAGAATCTTTGCTGAGTCCTGTATGCCTATCCACAAATATCTCTCAATGCGGGAATCTCTCATATGTTCACAATTTTGCAGGGCATTGGAGGTAAAGGCGATGCCCTGACTTGGATTGTGTGAATAAGCAGAATTGATTACAACTACAAGGAATTTGATAGCCCTTTGCCTTGTTTTAGTATGGTTTTAAGGTTCTAGTTCAACTTTTAAGTGGACTTCAAGATTATTTTTTATCCTTGGAAGTTTCAAGATGTGCGTTGTTGCATCTAGGATGGTATCATGTACAATTAAGTCAATTGAAGGTGCTGCTGTCAAACGCCACCTTAAATGTCCTGTAATATACTGATGCTGCTTCATTGTGTGTACATCTGGATCTGCTTGATGTGAGAGGTTTGGGCTTTCTCCGATGTCAGCTCATGATGTGGCGTAGGTGGTTTCAGAAGATTACTCAGCAGATTCTGTCATGTCAGTTTAACCTTTGTTCCTAGTACCGGTGCAGCATTGACAACACACCTCAGCCGCTGTTATGATTGCCAGTTGTTTGGAAGCACCGAGTTTCTGTATTGTCAGCTTCTTAGCTGAGATGAGCTTCTCTTTCAAAATTTGATTGAAGAGGAGAAAGGTGATCTGCTATCGAAAGGAGTTGTTCCCGTGCATTTCCATGAAATGTCTGATGAACTCATCGGATATGTAGAGTTATTGGACGAAAAAATTTCATTGCTCTTAGGATGATACGATCTTTTCTGTGAATATGGTTATTTCTATTTCTTTAAACTGTTCAAGTTTTGTTTATGTAGTTTCCCTTGTATTAGTCAAGGCGGTTTTAATGTTTGTTGTCAAACTGGGTCTACATTGTACCTCAAACTACCTGCTTTGTTAGGCATGTTGTGGAATATTATATGAGCTCTCTTTGTTACTTCTGTCATCTTTTGCAATTTAATTCGGAGTTGCGCTAGCAACGGCCGCCGCGCTCTCAAGGGCGGCTATCAGCTGTTGATGCACTGCGGGACCCCACTTGTGATCAGTTGCTTGATGTGTGGTTCGCTCATCCGGCTGTGTAGATATATATAATTAGAAAGTCTGTTGCAAACCAACAGGCAAGCAGCCGGCTCGTTGTCCATTATTTATACAAGGGAAGGGACGTGCGTGCATGAATGTCCCTCTGCCTTGAGTTGAGCTCATATAAAATGCTTACAAGCAAGCAATTGAATGAAACACTATTTCCCTATTCAGATTTGAGTAGAGTTAGGAATGCAGAGGGAGGCAAAGGACTTATACACCGGCGTAGTCGCTTACCTCTATCGGGTCCTTCACCGCCAGCTTAGGCGTTCGCGGAGATATCAAAGGGCCGAGGTTGAAGAAGAGGAGCGGTGCGGTTTAATTAACAGAAGGCTCGGAGATGTGAAACGCGGTTTAATTAACAGAAGGCTCAGAGATGTGAAACAAAGTGTTAAGTTTTGACTAGGCGACGGTTCAGAGTTGTGGGAGTTGGAGTCATGATTTCGAGGTGGAAAAACATTATGTCCTGTGATATGGTTTGAACTTTGAACATGAAGTGTAATACATACATCATATATGGATTGTATTATGATTATGTTCGATAAAATAGAAAAATTAAAATAACAGTTATGAACATGTCTTCCTTATAAAATCAATCCAAACGAACTAGTTTTTTACTGAATTCAAGTGTGTTTTAATGACCTAAAAAGTGCTTTTGGAGAATCCGAAAGCACTTTTAATGAGTATTAGCAAATATTTTTTTTTGTTAAGATTATAGACTCGTTTGGAAGTGCTTTTAAAATGTCTGAAAACGTTTTTAGAGAAAATGACTTTAGATTCCAAAAGCACTTGAAGTGCTTTCTGAAAGAAGCACCAGTTATGTCAAATGTTTTTCCAAGATTTTTTGGCAACTAAGAATAAGTTCCAAAAGTACTTTCAGTCTTTCACCATAAATACTTTTAGCTAGGTACTTTCAAACAAGTTCTTAAAGTCTAAAATCACTATTGGTCATGAAGACAGAATCACATAGGCATGAAATTACCATTAAACCGCGTCTATTTTCTTTATCTTATATATACTAGCATTTGCCTACACTTTGTGTGTATGAACACATTTTTTTTAGAAAATGAGAAGGAGAGAGAGAGAGAACGTGGGGGAGTGGAAGGTATTTTTTTTTTTTTTTTGGTTATAGAAGATTAAGTAGTATTTTCACATTCTTTTGGTCGACAAGGAAATTTCATTAATTAATAGAAATATATATATATATATATATATATTTTTTTTTTTTCTGCTTCAATACGTTTATTTACACTTCAAAAAGTCTCCCAACAAAAAAGAGTGATCTCGGTTTCACAAAATGGAGCTATCACTCTCGGCGCCACCCATTCCAACCCCTTCACCTCCGCTGCTAAAACCGCTGGTGAGCTTCTCGGTTTCTCGTCCGAATCTCACACCCACTCCGCCGTCTCGCCGCCCATTACTTTCTTCACTAAAATCAAACCAGCTCTTGAAGCTCAAAGCCACGGACTCTCAGAGAACAGCTCCGCCGCGCGCCTCCCTGGCCGAAAACAACGGCTCCACTATGACCGATTCCCCTATCCCAATTAGCTCAGGTAAAGCTTAACCCTAATACTAATTCCAATCGCTGAACTGGGTTTTAAAATTAAATGGAGTTCCTAATTGTTGGTGCAATTTTTGCAGGGGCTCGAATTGGGGAGGTCAAGAGGGTGACTAAGGAGACCAATGTTTCGGTCAAGATCAACCTGGACGGCACTGGAATCGCTGATTCCAGTACTGGGATTCCGTTTCTTGATCATATGTTGGATGTCAGTAATCTTTTTCTCTTAGCTCTTTGAAATTGTAGCTCAAAATTCAATCTTTGGTAAAAGGCATTGATATTGATAGTGTTATGGATTTTATTTTGTTAGTAGAAAAAGTATTTTCAGATATCCGAAACCCAGTATTAGTCTTAAGTAGACTATATTTCCTGTCTGTTTACAGAAGAAAGTTGGGTGCTTAATGTTTTTGTTTCTTGTGATTTTGTGTACGGTGCATTGCCCAATTGTTGCGTTTATTTGTTTATTTCAGCAACTCGCTTCGCATGGGTTGCTGGATGTGCATGTAAAGGCTACTGGTGACATTCACATTGATGATCATCACACAAATGAAGATGTTGCTCTTGCTATAGGAACGGTATGGTAGAAAGCAGGCATCTTGATGTTTCCTTTGGATTCTATTGTCTTCCAGCTTCACTTTTTGGATTCCTCTCTGTCTCAGAGTAGGCAGCTGATTAAGCTAATTTTGCTTGGTGTGCAGGCTTTGCTTCAAGCACTTGGCGATAGAAAAGGAATCTACAGGTTTGGTGACTTCTCGGCGCCACTTGATGAAGCACTCATACATGTCTCACTGGTATGTTCTGTGCCATCATTTCTTTAAGATTATTTAGTAATATTTTCCAATTGCAATGTGTTAAAATCTTAAGATGAACTTTTGGATTCATTTGAATGCTTGAGGACAAATTAATTTCAAAGTAACTTATGCATTACAAAATCATAAACTCATGGCTTCATAGCCCATAAATGATCCCTCTAGAGATTTTGGTTATATCCAGGTAAGATTTATTATATGACGAAACTGAGTAAAGCTTATCCTAAGGGTTGTGTTTGATCATGATAATTTAATTTCAAATAAAAGAGGTGACTTTTGCACCAGTTAGCACTAGTATCGGAGTGCTATTTATTTAAGAGGGATAGTTGTCCAGTGGTCGTATACTGTATTATTTACTTAAGGTTCAGCTGTCCTTGTTTACTCCAAAAAGTAAGAAGTATTTGCTTAACTGGAGGTTGTATTCAGGATTTATCTGGACGACCACATCTGAGTTATGATCTCCAAATACCAACAGAGAGGGTCGGCACGTATGACACTCAGGTATTTTACTCGAAAACCTGGGCTTCAAATTCCTGCTGCATATGTTATCCATCTGTAAAGTATTGCTGGAGATATTGGTTTAATATATGTTACTGTAGGGAGCTACATGAGAACTTTTCTTTCTATTTACTTTTGGAAGATACTAGGTGTTCCAATTTACTAATTGTTGTTTGAACTGTCCTTTTCATAGCTGGTGGAACATTTTTTCCAGTCTTTGGTGAATACTTCTGGTATGACACTCCACATCCGGCAGGTAACATACAGAGCTTCCTAAAAGTCTTGAATCATCAAAATATTGTGTGTTCACAGACTAGAAGTAAACTTCAATGACTGATTGCCATCTCTCGTTGTGCATGAATTTCAATTCATTTTTGCGTAGACTGCAGTATGAAACGGACATGTTATTTAATGTTAATTTATTGAATTTTTATAATTCTAATTCTATACATGTCAGTAACCACACCATTTATGATTTTATTGATTCATGAACTAGCAGGGTGTAATGGTTTTCAAATAGCTCCAGTTTCTTGTTTCTGACAGTTCTCTTCTTTTTTGGGCACAGCTTGCTGGAAGAAATTCTCACCATATCATTGAGGCAACCTTCAAAGCATTTGCAAGGGCTCTCAGACAAGCAACAGAATCTGACCCACGTCGCCTGGGGACCGTGCCAAGGTTTGAAATGAACTTATCTCAATTGAAAATGAATCATAGTCTTTGAATGGATGGTTTATTCCATGAATTTTTTTAACAGCCCTTTGGTTAATCAACCATTTTGGTCAATGTTGTGTTTACTCTTTTGGTATGTGAAACTCAATCTTCACTTTATGGAGTCAATTATGCGCAGTTCGAAAGGCGTCTTGTCGTGCGCTTGATGCTTCATATTTCTTCAGTTCCTTGAAGCACACGGTGAGGGGATGGATGCCGCGTTGTTGGTCTCTGTCTACATGGCAGATCATTGTTGTATATGTAACATTATAATCGCAATAAACTTTTCCGTGTTGTTGATTCAATGTAGGAACAAAACCAAGGCTTTTGATTTGTTAAAAGAGTTTATGGAATAACCATCCATTTGTTTTCTATGAAAATGTAAAGGGAAATGAGAAGCATAACAAATAAGGAAATGATGGATGATTTGTTTTCCATGGATATAGCCGATGTTAACGATCAGTATTCCGACTTCAGCCTACAGGCAACCGTACTAGGCATGTCACAATTAGTTGTAGCTCATTTAAACGTATCTGGTTTTTCTTCAAGGCTAACAGTTTTATTAGTGAGGCAAGTTTATTTATGTAAGCACACTTAGTTGTATTGTTGAAAATAAATGCATTTCTTTTCTAATATTGCTTTAATTTCATTATGAGGAGAGAATAAACAAGAATTCGTTCTTTTTTTATTTTTTTTATTTTGTTGCACAAATATATGGTATTAAAACTTTTAGTATATTTTTTTTATTTACGTGACAAATTTCTTGACCCTCCGCAACGTGCACAGGCATGAATATTTGTTTGAACACTAGCCTCAAATGTAGGGGTATGCAATATTAAGCTTTAACCACTTCATCAACAAATTTCTTTCAACATTAAAGAATTGCCGATTTAGTCATCAAATTGTTATTTAAGCGAAAATAAGTGTATAAATTATGATTTTCGAAAAAATATACTCGTTTAAAACTGACAATTACCTCCTATTATAAGATTCGAAGCTATTCTATCCAACCAATTTTCCATAAACTTAAGTCACGTGATTTGCTTGTAACACGCTATGAATTTAGGAACTCAAATTCTCCATCCAAATTAGGAATAGAACAAAAAACAAAAGAAAATGAGAGGAAGAGTAAGCATAAACATTAGAAAGACCAGTCTATCTATGGTCTTCATTGAAGGAAAGAGCAGTTACCAACAATTTACCAAGAACAAACCAATTTTAATTCAAACCTACCAAGAACAAGAAAAAACGATCGAGCCAACGCCGATGCGGACAAGGGCTACTATTCCATTAAGCCAGGGCTGGCAGCGTAGCATGTCCATGCTGAGGTATCTTGCACTTCTTGTAGTTCATGCAAGAGATGCTTACAGCGACTGTAACAAGTGCTTCCCATCAATATAATCAGTTATATCCTGGTTTGCAAGGTTACTTCAATTCTTTTTCAATCAACCTTTCGCCACCCGACATAACATCTACCGGCACCAAATTTGAACAAACTCCAAAATTAAACAAAATCAGAACGAAACATGCTGGTGTCAATTCTTTTTCAATCAACCTTTGGCCACCCGACATAACATCTACTGGCACCAAATTTGAACAAACTCCAAAATTAAACAAAATCAGAACGAAACATGCTGGTGTTTGTTATCATGAATCATCAGTGGCACGTATACAAAATGTATCATCCTGCAAAGTTTCTTTTTGTTTTGAAGCAGCGAATATCAACCAAAACTGCAAAAAAACACGGCTTATTTGATCCTTTTCTTGTGTTTGTAGATTCTTTCAGGGCTAATATATGTGAAAAATGGATGATATTGATGATTTACAGACATTGACTTCTGCATTGGAGTTTTTCTTAGAAAGCGGAGTGCTACAGAGTTGAAGGAGCCTTGCTGCATAAACATTCTCTGCCTATATATTGAGCCTATTGCAAAACCTAACTCAAAATATTCACACGAGCTTTTTCCCAAAAAATAAAAAATAAAAAAAAATCACACGAGCTTCATAGTGATAGTGTTTGATTTCTGGGTTGAATTGATTCAATGGAACAGTGCATATGAAATTGAAAATGTGCAGAGAGAGAAAGATTAGAGAGTCATGGAAGCTTCAAGGTCTGAGAATGCTCATTGGATTCTACTCTCTCGAGCAAGATGCTCGGAAGGATTATATGACCGTTGGAGGAGTAACAAACTCACTCTCTCTCATCATTACAAAAACAATCACAACCATCCATTCTTAAGTCATCATGTAAGATGCTAACACTTGTCATGAGCTATGACTCACTACAATCTAATCTGAGATGCCATATGGAATATGATCTGATGGCTCACATTAAATCCTACAATCTACATATAAACTTAACCATCACAGCAAATACATTTATACATCAACACTCCCTTCTAAATGTTTTGCTGATTTCACTTCAAGTGCAGCTCTTTAGTACTTAGATCGATCCTTAGGTAAAGCTTTAGTAAAGATTTCTGCCAATTGCTCTTCTGTTTTGCAATACTTCAATTCAATTGTGCCATCTTGAATTGCATCTCTTATGAAGTGATACCTTCTGTTGATATGTCTAGTTTTCTGGTGAAACATTGGATTCTTGGACATGGCTATGGTAGAGGTATTGTCACATAGCAAGGGTGTAGCCTCCACTTGTTCCTCTCTAAAATCAGATAGCACAAACCTTAGCCACATTGCTTATGTTGTAGCTTCTGCAGCACTTACATATTCAGCTTCTGCAGTGGATAAAGCCACACTGTGCTTGACAGAAGCCCAAGAGAATATCCCTGAGCCAAAACTAAATGTATAACCTGAGGTACTCTTCATATCATCTTCACTCCCTGCCCAATCACTATCATAATAGCCTAGTAACACAGCTTCTTTACCTTTCACATACTCAATTCCAAAATCCAGTGCCTCTTGTACATATCTCAGGACCCTTTTAGCTGTCCCCATGTGCTTTATGGTAGGCTTATGCATAAATCTTGCCAACAAACAGGATGCATACATCAAATCTGGTCTAGTAGCTGTTAGGTATAACAAACTACCAACCATCTTCCTATACAAGCCTTCATCTGCTTCCTCACTTCCATCAACCTTAAACAGTTTTTCATTGATTGCAAGTGGTGCTTTCACTGCTTTACAGTCTTTTAAACCAAACTTCTCATGTAAAGACTTGGCATATTTCTTCTTATGAATGAATATGCCCTTCTCAGTTTAAATTATGCCCAAACTAAGAAAATGATGTAGCAATCCCAAGTCTGACATCTCATATTGCTTCATCATGTCCATCTTAAATTCTTGAATCATTTCATCAGAACTCCCCTGTATAGATAGTATCATCACATACAGAGACACAACAAGCATACCTACATCACTGAATTTGGTATATAAAGTAGCTTCACTTTGGCTTCTCTTAAATCCAGACTTGTTGAAGTAAGTATCTATCTCATCATACCAAGCTCTGGGAGCTTGTTTTAGACCATATAAAGCCTTTTTCAGTCTGTAAAGCTTGTCTTCTTGTCCTTTCACTTCAAATCGCTGTGGTTGATCAACATATACTTCCTCATGCAGTGTACCATTTAGAAAGGCATATTTGACATCCAATTGGAACAATCTCCATTCCTTTTGAGTTGCCAATGCAATTAAAGTCCTAATGGTATCTGACACGCCTCGATCCCAATATTCTCCGAACACTAGGGTAGGTACGTGCTGACCGACACCCGAATGTGACAAAAGCCATTTAGAATGCATGAGAACAAGAAATAGATAAGACTTATAAATTAAATATAATTAATATGAAAATTAGAAACGTGTTTAGAGCACACATCTAATCTAAAACACTAAGAGAAGATAATATAAAATTGAATGAAAAAAAAGAATGGGTCCTACACCGAGAGGACTCGAAGATGCCGATGCGGAAGTGCCTTGACGCCGGGATTGTACGCCTCGATTCTAAGTCTTGAGGGGGTGCAAAACAAATATGAGTGGACCAAGTTGATATATATAATAATAATAAAACAGTTATCAACATACTAACCCCTAAAATTTTATGAAAATCAATAGCATAATATGTGGTAGGTTTTCTGAAAACCCTAGCATGCCATAAAACCTTCAAAACATACATTATATATAGTGTGCTAACTAGTGGTATCAGTATCAGTATCAGTATTAGTATCTATTCAATCAGAACCTTTCACTTGCCAAACATGCCATTTAGAACACTTCCTTCATTTGCCAAACAGGTCCAACCTACGCCCGGTACGAAGCCAAAATAAATATCATTGCCAAACATGCCCAACCTACGCCCAGCATGAAACCAATATAAATATCATTGCCAAACAGGCAGAACAGTGACCACTAGCTACGCACAAAACATTGAATATAGTCTTTCCAAATATAAGTACATATATCTCAAAAACATCTTCATAGTATAAAGTCATCCATCATCGATACTATAAATAAGTGTGTAAAAACATGTTCTAAATAGTATATCGTCACCCATCAGATATCCTACAAAGAACATGGGTTCGATAAAAAATATGATATTCCAAAATATTCTAAGTAAGCATAATATCTCATAAAACGTAATCATTAAATCATGTTTTTCATGTATGTAATTCTACTATTAAAACATGCATTTTAGAAAGGGTCTACTTACAGATACTTCACCATTGAAAAGCCACGCAAACTAGCGAAGACATAAACGACATAATAAATGCACCTAAGCACATAAATGGTCCAATCATTAAAATTCTATTCAAACGATTAAATTTGGGAAATGGATGTCAAAAACGAGTCCAGGACATCGAAATTAGCCTAGGAGGGGTCCCGAACGAAAACCCGAAAAGTCAACAAAAGTCAACGTTGATCATTGATCGGTTAAAGGCAAAGTCAACGTTGACCGTTAACTGGGTCAAATGTTAGACCGGGTCGGGTCAAGGTCAACGGTCCAGGTCTGGTCAACCGAGTCTGGGTCCACGAGTCGGACTAGTCCACTGGGTTGGGTCAAGGCCTAAAAGGTTTGGGCTTGGGTTCTAAGGCCTAATGGTTTTTGGCTTTAGGGTTTTGGGCTTAAAGCCCGAAGGGTTTAGGGTTTAGGATGAACAGGCTGTGGGCAGCCTAAGTTTCATTCGGCCCTAAGGTCGGTTCCTTTAGGTTCTAACACACGGGCCTGGGCTTGGAAGCTCGGCCCAGGGTTTAGGGTTAAAAGGGTGTATAGGCCTAAGGTCCTAAAGGAAATGGCCCAAAAGCATTTAGGTTTTAGAAACTAAATAATTAAAATAATTAAAATAGAACAAAGTTTTTGGGTTGGGTTTAACGGGCCTAAGGCCCGAGTCCTATACACAGCCCAAAGGGGCCTGGTTTGACTGGGTTCTGGGTGAGCCAGCCCAACGGCCTGGTTCGACAGGGAGTCGACGACGATCTATTTCCCT